GCTTCCATTCACTATTAGTAAACTTGATAGAATGCCAACGTGGGAATTGAAGCCAATAGCGGAGCACCACACAAAGTTTATCGACTACCAAAGTTGATGTGGTGGTTGAGTCGGCACATGCGTTAAGTAGAAAATTACAGCCTTTTTCTAATTGATTAAATAAATTAAATTTAAAGAAACTCCAAAAGTGCATAACTAAAAAACTAAAAATCACAAAAGTATAAAGTAAAATTCCTTTAATTCAATAAAATAAGGGGAATCAAATAAAAAAAAAGCAAGGCAAGTTAATTTATAATCAACTCTAAAATTACTTTAAATTTTAAATATTTTAAAATCATTAAAAATTAAATATAAATCAAAATTAAATGAATCTTGAAATGATTACAACCTCTAACAAAGGGAACCACCCTATATTTTTCTCAAAATTTAGAGACCAAAATTTAATAAAAATTTTGCATCGTTCTTTGAAATCAATAAATCAATTAACAAATATAAATAAATAAAAAATAAACAAAAAAAAATTATAAAATTAAATGAAAATGAAAAAAGACAATGAAATTAGTTCCCTAAAATAAAATGGTATTTTTCCTACTAAAATTCAATAAACCACTTAAATGAATCTTAAGGGTTTATTTGTAAATTAAAATTTACACCGTAGAAATTATTACATAAATCTAATGTAGAGCAAGCACAAATGAAAAGAACTCCATATGCTTCAATAGTTGGAAGTTTGATATATATAATGATATGACAAGACCCGACATTACACATTTAGAGAGTGGTCAATTTGTATAAGGGTAATCTAGAGAAACATCATTAAAAGGTAGAGAAGTGAATTATCAGATACTTGAAAGGAACAGTTAACAAAATACTTTGTTTCAAAGGTGTAAAATATTAATCTAGATGGATATGTATATTCAAATTTACTAAGAGATATTGATGGTAGAAGAAGTGCAAAAGTGTATGTCTTCACTTTGAGAAATACAACAATGAGTTAGGTCACCAGGCTACAGAATATTGTTGCATTTTCAACTGCAAAAGTTTAGTACATTCACTACGGCTAGCAAGGAGACGATTTAGTTGTAGAGTTTTATGGCAGAATTAGGAAAAGAGCGAGGGATTGAAATGCTTCAGAGTGACAATATGAGTGATATTCATCTAGCTAAGAATGTCATTTTTCATGCTAGGACTTAATATGCTCAGCTGAATTATCACTTTATTCATTCTCTCCCAGAAGATGATCAGATTTCCTTGGAGAAATATAGCTCAAAATCTTGTTGACATGTTGATTAAAGTGAATACAATGTAAAAATTAAAGTTACTCCTTGCAACCACATCCCCTTCATCCTTGCACCATCTTCATAATTGTGTAAAGTATTATGGCTCATCTCTAGTCTAACCATTGTTTTCCAAATGTGAGATTACTATCTGTAGAGCTTGACTGGTAAATATAAGCTCCCATAATTAGTGTGGGGGGCAAAGTCCCCATAAATAGTGCAAGGGGCAACTAATGCTGGAGCAGGCACCCAGCTAAAGGTTTCAAGGTGGAAACACAATCCATTTGAGTTATGTGTTGGAAATTAATGCATTTTCAGAGTTAATTCATGTTAAGAACCAAATTTTATGAAAGCTTACTATGTCTGCAAGCTCCAGGTTGGCTATACTAGGCGGTGGGATCGAGACGGAAGTGTAGGCACTCGTCGTAGGGTTGCGTTGTCAAGTTAGGTGAAATAATCTTATGTTAATTTAAGAAAAATAATTTTCTAAAAGGTTTCATAAGATTTCTATTTGACACAGATGCATTTAGAACTTCCTGCATATAGTAAATGATTACCTAAAATTGAAAGTATAAATACATGTTTACTTTTCTTAAAATACACGTATTGCTATAATCAAGCTATGCTACATGTGACTGCATGTGCTATGAATTTCATTCATGTATTCATTTGTTATTTTATGTGTCTATGCCTTTGATACATGTAATGCTTGATAAATATTTGATGCAGTAATGATGATTTAAATGTCACAAGGAATGTTAGGGGTAAATTATTATGAGTGTTTGCAAGAACATTATGTAGGAATGTAGTATTCATGACTCCTGATATTTTACGAGAACGAAACTCTGAGAAATATTGGAATAAGGTTGTGACATAACATTAGAGAACTATGAGCATCAAAGTGTTATCGATAACTAGTAGGTTAAGGAAACTCTTTATATGGCCTTTGGGGCAACGTGATGACCGATGATGAAAGGACATGGAAATAGTAGAGCTTTATATATTAAGCAAGTGACATTACTATGATATGACCTCTATGAAATGACATTGTTATATTATGTACTTGTTTTTAATTATACTTATGATTTCATGTTTATGACCTACATGTTATACTACAGTCTTGATTTGTGTACATGCTATCTTGTCATGCTCTCTATTATGCCAACATGTTATGATTTGTTTGTAGACATGTATAATTTCATATGAGTATGCACGTTGTTTCATTTTCATGTATAAAATCTTATGTTAGCCCTATTTATTTTCTACATTGTTTCCTTTAAGGTAGGGGCAACAAGCACCGAGGCAAGTATCAAGGTGTCTTTTTACAGCTTTTGCACGATAATTTTGGGAGCATTTTATATATTTTTTCGGTACATATTTTATTATATTGGATTTAGCAGGTATGTATAGTTTTCATGTTCTGGATGATATGATTTACATGCTTTTGAGTATGTATTTGAAATGCAATGTATCACATATATTATGACGATCTAGTTAGACAAATTCATCATCCGCTGAGTCTTGATTATAAAATTTAGAACAAATGCTAGTGAGTGCTCGTCTAACCAAAATTGCAAGCCTCTGTCACCACCATGATTGACCCTACCAAATGGCTTAATTGAGGTGTGACTGAATTAATCTAGATATCATGTATAAAAATAATAAGAAAACTATCAAAAAAATTGCTTGAAGACCCTATTCATCGTATCCATAAAAAATGTTGGAGCATTTTTCAGTCGAATGACATCATCATGAATTTATAGTGCCTATATCCGGTCCTGAAGTTCGTCATCGCTATGTTTTCTTTTTTAATCCTCAGCTAGTGATAGGCTGATCTCGTATCAATCTTTGAAGATATAGAGGAACCTTACAACTGATCAAACAAATCGTGAATCCTCGACAGTAGATACTTGTTATTAACTGTGAACTTATTCAATTACATGTAATCAATGCACATCCAAAAGCTCTCATCCTTTACTTCACAACTAATAATGGAGCTCCCCATGATGAAGTGCTAGGTCTAACAACCCCTTATCAAGTAACTCCTGCACCCGAAGTTACAGCTTTATCATTTCCTTCAATATTCACAGGTATATTGCATCCTCTGTCAGTACTATATGGGGGTAATCTTGTATGACTTTAGTATTTACCATTAATTTCCTTCAATATATCTCTTTTAATAAATATTGAACATTCATTTTTTTCCTTTTCCCCATTTCAATTTCTTAAATCTTTAAGCTCACAAAATGCATATCATTATAAAATGATTATTTAAATCATTACAAGAATTATTAAATAAACATTAATTTAATACATATAAGAAAATAATTACTCGTATTTATTTTCAAGAGACCTCTGAAATAGTTTAACCCTTCACTTTGATTGCCTTATCGTCCTTTAATTCATTATTTGTTCACAAAAAAAAAAAAAAAATTATTAAATAATTGTTGAAATGAGATTAACACGACGAATTAAACTAATTTATAGAATCAATGCATAAGACTTGCAAATCTTTATCTTACTCGAATGTCTTGTTCTACCTCTTCCCCAAATCCAAGGAATCTATCAACCTGGTTAAAAGTTATTCAATTAAAGAGTACTACTTTAATTTGAATTTTTATTAAATATAATATAAACGCACATTTTATATACTTATATCATTAATTTAACTTAGCAAAACTCATACTTGTCTCTAATTTAATCTCGGCTTGCAATCCCAACTCCCATACGCGAGCTTCCTTCCTCCTTCCCACACGCGAGCACCTTTCTTCCTCCTAACTTCGGTCGCGGCTCAATCCAGAACCTCACGCATTTCTTCCTCCTCTCCCTCTACATGCACATGAACACAACAGATCACCATCTCCTCCGATTCTTCTCGTTCACACGGCTCAAAAACTCTACTAGCCGCACGCAAGGCTCGCGGCTTCGGCTTCTTTCTCCTACTTCGATCGTGGTTCGTCCCAACAAAATACGCACACACATGAGTTTTCCCTCTTCAGCTTTCGATGGGTCTCTGCTCTGCCGATCTCATCACTTAAACGTTAAATTACCTTAGCATCAATCTCATCACTTAAACGAAGGGTTTGAAAACCGGATTGTTCGACCGTGAATCGGGCACAGGACCTGTCTAGTTAAGAACATTTTTGCATGGACCAGTGAAAACTGGTGTGAACTGTCGATCGGCTCATCCGATCTACATATTTATTTATATCTAATTCTAAATTAATTGTTAACAATTTTTTATTTGATACCTAATTGTAAATTAAACATATAATCATGAATTTAAAAAACTTGAACATACTAACTAATGAGTTAAATTCAACTAATTCATTATATTCCGACCACCTAGGTAACTTAGGAGCTCAAGCTGTAAAGCTGTTTGTTTTATTATATTTTATTTTTATCTAAACAAACAGTGTAATATTATGTTTTCTACATAATGTGGGACTTAAAAAGTGTTACAGCTTAAATATGAGTTGGGTTAAAATAAAGAATTGAATTGGGTTTAGAAATATTAAAAGGGCTGCATAATGTAGGAATATGCAGATGTGTTTGACAAACTATCAAGCCACTAAATATCCGCTACTAGCAATGGACTTTATTCTTCATCTACCACCATCCAATGGCATTGGCCGCTTGTGAAGTATGCACATTTTGCTCCACTACATCCCACATCACAGCCATCCTCCAGAGCTAATATTCATTACTACAATTGTTAGCCTACATAGAGTCCCCAAAAGTCTTATTTCAAACCGGGCACACCACTTAATAAGCCATTTCTTACAAGCATTATTCAAAGAATTGAGCACGTCACCATACTACAGTACAACCAATATCAGGAGGCAGACACTGGTAAATAGCTACAGCACCAAGTAATACCTAATACGGTTCATTATGTACAATCCTGCCCTTCATTTCGAAAGTTTTTCATCGAGTTGTATGTTCATATAACATCTCCTTCCACTCTTCAATTAAAAGTATTTACAGCTCCCATGTAAACTTTCAATAAGGTTTATTTGCCATACAAAAGTTGAGATTTACCGCCAGGAACTTTTGGTGTAACACAATATGACAGTGAGACGTGAGCGATGTTAGACCCAGATACTTCTGGTAGGAATGATATGTCAAATTCCAAAGATTGGTAGAGACATAACTCATCCTCCTTGCAATAGTAGATCTGCAATTGGAGAAGGATTCATGTAAGGAACCAATTGTTTAAGCATCTAGAGCATTCAAGATTTTGCAAAAATCATGCAAAAAAAAAACTCCTGCTGGATGTTTCACACATGGTTCATGCAGCGACCAAATACCAAGGTCCAACATAGGTCGCAGGAAGATGATCAGAAAATTTAGCACTTGTGGCCATTTCAAACAGCCGTTCAGCACAAGCTCCAGTTTCATAATCCTACTTTCAATCTCAGTTATGCCTTCAATTCCCACTTCCGTAGTTTCAAAATGTTCAATTAGCAGCAATATATGGATGTGGCATCTCCCATTTTTCATATACTGAATTTTTATCACTATATATATATACTAATTTTCTGAAATTGACATCTTTAAAGCATATTGAAATCTTCACCTAAGGATTCAAATTTATCACGACTAATGATGTCATAGCTCAAAAGCATAATTTTTCATGTAAAACGGAAAACTAAATGAAGATGCTTGAAGCTTCCAATATTTTTTTGCAGTAATTATGAATTATTATATACTAAATGGGCAGCCTTTGGAGCTCCTGTTAAAGAGAAATATTGACCTTGCACATTACTCTGCCGGTTACAGGTGAGTGGGAACTCCTTATGAACCGCAATGATGCAGATCCAGTAGTGCTAATAATTCCACTACTTGGTTCAAAGACAATCGCATCAGCAGATTCAGTTTCCGTATCAAATTTGCTTAGGGCCTCCTATAATTAAAAAGAAAACAATTCAGGCAATCAGCAAAGTGGATATCAGGCTAGAGAAAACTAAAAGATGATATGGATCTTAGCATTTTGAGGCTTCGAATCTAATTACTACATTGGTTTAATACACAAAAAAAGAGTTGGAAAATAAAAGGCACTAGAAAGAAGAAAATGTACCATAAAAATACAGAGCACCATGGTGCTGATGATTTCAAGCAAAACCAAGGAATGTCTCGCTACTAAATGCTTGGTTTGGCTAAACTCAGTGCAATGCATGCACCAAGATGGAAAAATAACAGAAGCTAACCTTAGAGAAATGATAACCTTTAGGAACCGAAATTCTAAGTTCCAAGGAACCCTCAGCAGATGAGCCACCATCAACTTTCATTATTTGTGTATCTACAGAAGCCCTTTTTCTCAGGCGTTTTGGCAACTCTCGCTTTGGTGATGGTGGCTGCACTCCTTTCAGTTCTAATGTGCCTAATATAGGGACTTTTCCATTCAAGTCTAGGCATCGAATTACACTGTTGTTTGTATCAGCAATGAAAAATTTTCCTGCAATGAAACCAATAAATTTGAAGTTGAATCCAATGATCATTTAATTATGCATTCTGGCCCAAATTTTAAACAGAGCACTTAATCACGGAACTTTATAATGCACTGCAGCAAAAAGGTGACACAAAATGAAAGCATCTCATTTCAAAAAAAGCATCTATAAGTAGAGTAATTTCACGCTCACAAAAATGAATATAAAGGATGGATGTGTATAGATCAAAATATCTTATTGGGGGTGAGGACAAAGGGGAAATAAATAGAAAAGAAAACAATTTTAGATTTTTTATTTAAATTTGAATTTAAATTTTTCTAACAAATTGATTAAAATCGGAATGGTAGGTCTTTAGGCTTATAGGATACAACAACAACAACAACAACAAAGCCTTAATCCCACTACGTGGGCTCGGCTATATGAATGACTTTTCTCCATTACGTCCTATTTAGTGTGATATTTTCATTTAGTTCTAGTAAATTAAGATCATTTTTTATACAATAAGCCCAAGTATTCCTAGGTCTACCTCTGCCTTTCTTAACACAAGTCGTATCTGAAATATCTACTCTCCTAATCGGATCATCAGATGGTCGACGTTTAATGTGACCAAACCATCTAAGCCAACTTTCTCTAATTTTGTCCGTCACAGGAGCTACACCAACCCTATGATATATTCACATTGTCTCTAAGTGTAAAGCCACTCATCCACCTAATCATTTTCATCTCGGCAACACTTAACTTATTATTATGCTTCTCTTTTAAAGGCCAACATTCAGCGCCATAGAGCATTGCAGGTGTCACCACCGTCTTATAAAATTTTCCTTTCAGTCTAAGCGGTACTTTTCTATCACACAAAAGGCCCAAAGCATTCCTCCACTTCAACCAACCAACTTGAATTCTACTATTAACATCCATAAAATAAAATTGAGATTATCCATAAAATAAAAAAATTAAGATTATCTATAAAACAAAAAAATTTTCAATGTGTTCGTCCTGAAATGGTAAATCATCAATTATGTGAAGCACACAAATTAGAATAGAGAAAATAAATTTTCTCAGGTCTGTTGTATGTCTATTTATAGTTGAATAAATTTCTATGTGCGACACAACAATAATTTTTCATGTCTAGGAGAACATTTCACAGATTACTATTCATGAGTAACTGACTGCAAAATAATTTTGTAAGAATTAACTCACAATCAAATGTATTTGATTAAAAAAATGTTAGAAATATTTAAAATGAATAAATTTGATATCCATAAGCTGCACTTGCATACACTATTAAATAGCCTTTTTTCTTTTTGTTGTTGACTGAATTTTATGTTTAATTAAATGTTTAGTGATAAAAATATATCAAACTTAAGAAACATCATGATTTGGGAGATTAGATTGCAATAACAATTTGTACGATACCTGTTCAAGTTGGTTGACAAAGGTGAGCCCATAAATAAATAAGAAAAATTTGTATAATTATGACAACAAAGGTGAGCAACAAATGACTGTGAAACAAGTATATAGTTAAGACAACAAAGATTAACCCATGTGAAGGTAAAGAGGAGAACAAGTTGGTTTGTATATGACACCTGTACAAATAGGGAGAGGAGACCTATGAAGCACGAACACGAAGACATACACAATATGAAACGACATAATTGAAAAAAAAAAAAAGGAAACCACACGTCATGGATACTTTTTAATATTAAATTAAATATTAATATTTATTTTTTCATTATTTTTTATTAGACATTACAAAATAAAATATCTAAGAATAAAATTTAATTTTATAAACTTAGCTTGTATCATGAAACCTTATGCTCACAAAAATTATTTTTTAAAATTAGGCATACAAAATATTTCAAAAGAATTCATCGTACTTTAAAATATCTCATGATTACGCCTTATTTAATTAATTAAGTTAAAATTTAACTTTTAGAATTAGAATAAATATAAATTTATAATTATTAACTCATTAAAGTGTAAAAAATATATATAATTTTTTTACTTACAAAACTAGAGCAACTTTGACTCCACTTAGCTTCTATGAATAAAAACTTCAATACAATTGTCGCGAAGTTAGCAGGGTATTTGGATCAGCTTTAATGAACAGGTTTCTTGCTCAAGTTGTGATAAAGTTTATGGCTCCCACTTTAGCGGGACTATGTTCGACTTCGATGAAATAGTCTGCTTCGATGAATGCAAAATGGACCTTTGATGCTTGGTTTCAAAAAACAAAGAGGAAACTACTGATACTCGATTTTGTGAATATTGAATGCACATTCAATGCTCAATTTTGACAAATGTTAAAGAGAGTTCTAACCTGACGAGAGAGGAGGCAGCTAAAACTATGAGTTATAATTATGGTTATATGTATAGGTATAATTTTCTACTTCTCGTGCCCCATTTTTTCCCAAATAGTATTGAGCTCATATACAATATGTGTCGAGCATATCTCAAACATGTTCGGGCACGGACAAAAATTCAAACACATTTTTTATTGTCTGACAAGTGGTAGGGTGTGTCGAACAAATTTTGGTGTCTGAAATGTGTCCAACAAAAGGCATGACATATTTTAAGTGTCAGTGCTACATAGAGTGAGACCAATGTGAGCTTGACCATTGAATTTAATCCCAAATGTATAATGTGTTTTAAAGTTGAGAAAAAATAAAAAAATAAAAAAAATAAAAAAAATAAAATATATATATATATATATATATATTAAAAAATTAACATAGCCCAATATTAATTGTGCAAATTTTAAAATGGTATTTATAACAATAAAAATCTTAATGTTCTTTCAAAATTCCGTTGAAAGGTATTATTTACTATTAAACCTCTTTTATAATGATTATAAGAAATGAGATTAATTCTTGTGATTTCACATAATTCTTTAACTATTTAAATTAGATATTGGATTTGTAAAAGTAAGACCAAAAGTGCTTTGGTAAGTCCATAACATGGAGGCAATGGTTCATAGAGTTAATACAACAAATTGGTTAGACCGACCCGACAAAGTAACCCAACCAAACAACATGGCAAGGCCAAATTGTTTTTGAAGCTTAGTAATAAATGTAAATAAGGAGACTCGACCCGCCTGAGTCCGACAAGGTGGGTTTGGCAAATTTAGTATCTTGTTTCCCTAAGCCAGTTGAACAAACAAACTACTCGCCACAACATAACAAAGGCATTAACGAGAATGATCTAGTGAAAGCATTGCCAAGGGAAAAGCATCCTTGGAGGACTCAATAATTAATAAAAAGCCTTATCAAATGAGTATTATAATGCTCATGCCACAAGAAGATAATAAAGATAGAAATAATATCTCTTAGTATCTGTGTAAAAATGGCATTATTTGTAACATTGTAGTGTATGAACCAACTCATTTATAAATAAGGATGCTCATTACAAGAATTATACAAGTCTAATTTTTTAGTTAATCTTCCTATGTTCCCTATTTCTAATTTCTTATTTCTAAATCTTTTTTTGGGTGTGCTAATTCATAGATGAATCAGGCTCAACATCCTAAAAGATGTGATGAGTGTAAATCATAATCAAATAACTTAACTTTGAACCAAGTAATATAATTTTGTTATTAAAAAAAAAAGATGTACAAAAAATAATTTAAAGATTTCCAAAATATTCTAATTATATATGAAAATTCTTAGAAGCATATCCATCCATTTTAATAATTTAAATTGTGCATACTTCAATATTAATTACTATGATGAATCTTTTGGAAGGTTATGAAGTGCAGTGCAAATTTGTGAAATAGATGGACTAAGTTTCTACTCGACCACAGTTCATAATATTCATGACAGTAATTGGTGAGAAATGTGTCCTGCTGGATGCTATGCCGCTGCTATGTCTGATGTTTGAATGGGAGGTAAAAATAGGGTGTCACAAGATCCTATTAAAACATGGCCCAAACATTAGAGGGTGTACGTTATTTACCAAAATTTGATTGGAATCACTACAATCTGCACTAGTATCCATAGTAACCACAAATAATGTTATCCACATAACTATTAGAGAACTACTAGTTGAATACATAATAACCTCAAAGACAGATTTTCAGTTGAATTATAGTGAGGAATAGCATGAAATATCTTGTCATGTAGACCAATAGAATTACATCATGTATGAAGAAAAGTGGAATAACGCAAATATACAATGAAATAATTTTGACACTATGTTAAGAGAAATTACACGTTCAAAGCAAGAAGATCGTTAGCTACTTTTCTCTGGTGCATTTGATTTCCGGAATCAATATAAAATTGCATAAAATAGAATAACTGTAAACACGAACTCCCTTAGAAAGGAAAAAAAAAGTTACCATTTCCAGCTTCAGTAATTCCAGATGGCTCAGAAAGCTGCAACAATATTATGAACGAATTAAATTTGATATTTGAGGGAAAATAATTAGATAACAGGAAAGGTACAAGCTCTGGCATCGTAAGAAAAACTGGTTTCAGCAAGATAAATGAACTCTCTCTAATCAAAAGCTTCCTTAACAACTTGGAAGATTGAAATCTTTCCATTTATCCCTCTCTTGCAGAGCAATCTGCACCCAATTCTTTTAATACCAATAGGATTCTCATTTGTTAATTCTTTTCTAAGCATCAAGTGGAAAGTTACCGGTATGTCTCAAGTAATTCATAAAGCAACAAAACTCTATTTCCTTGAGCAACAACTTGCAATTTCTGAAAGTATCAAGCAATTCCTTAACAACGATCAAATAATAGTTTAGATCTAGTGTTTCTTTATATAGGCCTAAGTAACTATTTTAAAAATAAATAAATGAAGAAAATAAAATTTTTATTTTTAAAATGAATAAAGATAAAAAATATGTTGCAAATTGACATTTGGCAGAACATAAATAAGGCCCTTTGAAATTTAAATGAGCATAAGAAGGGTTGATATCGGAATTAACCAAACTGCAATAACAAAAGCAAATATTATTAAGCAAACAGCTAGGATTACAATCAACACTTAAAATAGAAATGAAGACACAACAAACATCAAGATCCGACAAGGGTCCGGGAGTGGTATCCATGGGCAGAGGTGGGGGCTTGGTGGTAGGCAGTGGAGTAGGATAGTGTTGGAGGTGGACAGGTTGAGCAGGAGAAGTTAGGTGCCTAGTGGCCTGAATCAGGAGAAAAAAGTGGCGGGCTCTCGGGTGGCTTGTGGGGGGATGTGGGAAGAGGAGGTTGTCAGTGTAGCTGGAAAAGGAGACATGGAGAGAAAAGTAGGTAGGTTGGCGGCTAAAAGTAAGGGGAAGAAAAAAGGGAAGAGGGTCGGTTGTTGGTTGCTGGAAGGGAAAGAAGGGGTTTGGATCACCACCAGTCCTCGAATACAACCCTAATAAGGGGGGAAGCCTATAAGCAAAAATCTGAAACAAGCAAAACCTAACTATAGACATAGCAAACAAACATATTAATAGAGGATAGATATGAATTCCCTCCCATGTTGAACCCCTATCTTGCTGAGCCCCAGGCCGATTTAGCTGGACCCAACCCTATGTCAATCCCCCGGAATTGGGGGAGCTTCTGCTTCATCTGTCGAAGCTTTTGCATCTTTGTAATACAGCATCAGGTCTGCAATATTGAACATGGTCGAAACATTGTAGCCCCTGAAAAAGTTGATATTATAAGAATTATTATTTAACTTTCGGAGTATTCTGAAAGGTTTGTCTGCTCTAAGATTGAGTTTTATGAATGCTCTTGTTGGGAATCTCTCTTTCTTCAACCGAATCCACACTATGCTCATTCTTTAACTGTCACATCTTTTCTTGTCTCGCTGCCTGTGTCTGGTACTTGTGATTCTGCTTAGTGATCTCTTTTTAGACTTCCCCGTGAAGTTTCTAAAATCTCGAGCAGCCGTTCATATGTATCCTCATTAATTTCTGACTTATGCAGGAGCACAACCAATTCCAGTGGAATGAGCGAGTTGCGCCTATACACAACCTCAAATGGAGTGTGGCTCGTGGTCTGACTTACGACACTATAGTATGCAAACTCGGCCTAAGTGAGAATCAAATCTCACTACTTGATATTCTTCCCAACAAAGCATCTCAATAGATTTCTAAGGCTCTTGTTTACTACCTTCGTCTGGTTGTCTGTTTCAGAGTGCAATGCAAAATTTAATTAAAGCTTAGTGTCTAATTTTCCCCACAGAGTACTCTGGAAGTTTCCTGCTTGACGTGATGGTTCTGGGTATCCCATGCAGACTCACAATTACTCTAAAGCACAAGTCAGCAAAGCAACAGAGCCCTGTGGCGTAGTATGAAATGTTTCATCTTTGAAAATCGATCCACGATGACCATGACTGAATCCTTATTCTAATATGTCCTCGGAAGTTGCACCACAAAGTCCATGCCAACTTCCACCCACGCTGCCTCTAGTACTAGTACGGGGGTGTATAAGCCTGCACTATGCCCCCTAATTTTTCTTCATATGACAAATCCTGCACTGTACAACGTGTCGCTCTACATCTCTCGCTAAACAAAGCCAAAAGAACTGTTCTCTCACTAGTGTGAGAGTCGTCCCTGCCAAAAAGCATTGAGAGTCCTCTATTGTGGTTCTCTAAATGATGAAATCCCTCAGCAAACAATTAGGGACGCACAATTTACTCTGACAGATCAAGTAACCATCAGCTCTATAGTACTTCCCGGGGGGATTCTTGGCATACCTAAAAATGTGACACTTGTATATATACATTTTATGCTCTTTTTAAATGATATTACACTTTAATGAAAGGTATTTTGTTTGTTTTTTTATTAGATATACAATAGATAATTTCAGAGAAAAAAAGGCGAAAACAAAACAAAATGGGGTCAAATGAAGCAAGGGAGCACAAAGGAATCTGGCGCCCTAAGCGCCAGTCCCCGTACGTGGAAACAGAGAACCCAGGCGCCAGGACTGGCGCCTGGGCGGCAGAAAATTATATTGGGCTTCTAAAAAGTAGGCGCCAGAATCAATTTTAATTATGATGTATTGAATTTGAACAAATTTTGAAGAGACATTTGAAGTGACTCTAGGGGATTTCGAGAGTTATCATAAAAATAGTCAAAAGATGCCAAAAAGGGGGCTAAGGTGTGTGTGGTGTGTATCTCTTCATGTGTGTGTGTGTGTCCCTTAGAGTGAGATTGTAAGGAGAGTTAAGAATTCATCAAAAGAACTTCAGAGGATTTGTTTGGGGAGAAGTTTAAGATAAGTACTTTGTATTTTTGTTTAAATTCTGTCTTACTGTGTAAACTTAAATTTTAATATAAATTATGTTTCGTTGTGTTAACCTGATGAAGTATGAGTAGTTTTCTTTATCTTTAACCTTGCAATAAGAAATATTCATGTAGAAGATTAAAATTATTTAAGATTTCTCTTATTTCATACTTGTGATGATTCATTACTTCATACTTAATTTACATATTCAAACTGACTAATTTGTATGTTAAAACTTGTGAATCGATAATGACCTGGGAGGGTTATTTATTCCTCAACTAGTAAGAATCACATTAATCTAGAGGTTGAAAAATGTAGCTCATAGGTTAGTGCAAATATATAGGGAGATAAGTTTTGAAGAGTTTAAATTAGTGATTCTAAGGTGACAGACTAAAACCTTAACTAATTTGATCTAGAGTTTGCAACTTAAGGCTAGGTTAGTCCAAAAATTGTGGGCACAATGGGTAATCTAGAGTGATTGACTAAAACCTACCCCGCATAACCAAGAATTTAGGAACTTAACTTTATGTTAGCCAATATTCTTCATGTGCTCCAAAGAGGGTAAAAAATAGGTATGCTCTTATTTGTCACAATACTACATTTAAACCTTTTAACATTTGATTCTTACATTGATTATGATCTCATTGCAAAAGGGAAAGACTTTCATATCATTTGAAATCTTCTACATAAAGTTAGTTTAGAAAAACCTAGCATTTTATTTAAGTTTTGAAATTGAATTAGTAGGAACTTCTTTTTACACATAAACTTGCGACCTTATTTTCTACATAATTATCAGGAGTTTAAGTAAAGTTATACTAAGTCATAAAAAGAATTTTTACCTTCCATTTGGAATCGATAATGGTTTTAAAATAAAATCATATATTACTTGAACGATACGTGCACTTGCATTTCAATTCTAGTGAAGCTTTGAAATCAATAATTACAAAATTTAATACCTACGCCAATAGGAGTAGCCGCTATAAAAACATAAAATTATATTATCAGCATGGAAAGAGGGTCAATTTTTTGGAATCTTTGCCAGGGAATGAAATTAAAGAAGATATACACAAAGCAAGTATATCAAATTGCAGTATCAATTCTCCCGACACTGTTGCCAGTTTTTTCCAAAATCCTCTTTCTTCTATTAAAGCTCATTAGCTACCATAAAGCCCATGACGCGAGCCTACATCAAAGTGATCAACATGTGTCGGCGGCTCGACGCATTTGCTACATGATTTTGAGCCTTGTGTTTAAACACGAATTGGAAAGATGACAAGAACTTTACCCAAGTCGCATGTTGGCCCTTCAATTTACTCTTATTGTCCAAGAATTTCAAAATTTTGTGATCCGTGAACAGCATGAACTCATTTGTCAGTAGATAATGGCTCTAGTGCATGAGCTCGCACGATAGCATAAAACTCTTTATTGTACATCAAGTATTTCATCCTGAAATCATTCAGCTTCTCACTGAAACGATGGGGTGACCTCCCTGGCTCAGCACTGGTACAATCCCCAAGTCGGATGTATCACACTCTACCTTGAACCGTTGGTTGAAGTCTGGCAGTGCCAAGAATGGCGTCTAGTTCACTTCTTCATGAGTATATTGAGATTGTTCTAAGCTACCTCTGTTCATTGGAATTTATCTCCCATAAAAAGATCCATCAATGATGAACTGCCTGCAAAATGACGCTATTCCCAGAATTGTCTCAGCTCGGTGAACGACTGTGATGTCTTAGTCCATACACAGGCCAATTTATCAATACTAATCCCGGTATAAGTTCTATGGTGTTCTGAATGTCCAAAGCGGCGATAATCCCTCAGGAAGATTGTCAGTCATCACATCCTGGAAGTCACGTAATGGTGGTTGTAGTGGGGTTGGTATCTCACTCTCCTCTTCAGTTCTCTCTAGTAGGACTAATATCAGTGTCACTGTAGCATCTCAAAATAACTAAATGAAGGTGGCCCTTAGGACTAATGCCTCTTCTATGTCACTTACACCTCTGACATCCCTAACAGTCAACAACATGATGTTTTTCCCGTCCTTTTTAAAAAAGTATTGCCGTCATGCTGAGTCTCGTAGTCGAACTGTCAAGGCCTCGCCAACAAAAAATGGCATGTGTCCATTGGAACCACATTGCACCATAATTGCTCCT